CACTCTTTTGTCATTTAGAAGTAAAAATAGGGAATAACCTTTTCTTCTGCTCTAAGAAAGATTGCTTAACTACCTGCATTTAACTCTTGCTCTGATAAACAGACTTTGTTACACTTTTGAGTTTGTTCATCACGACGACTCTTCTGAATGTTTTGTGGTTTGATTCTTTTTCTCACGAGCATTGTGATGGATACATGTCCCATTTGGGCATGAATTTTCTCACACAGGTGGTACTAAGCAAGATGAAAGATATGACCTCAAAGCCTTCAAACTCATGTAACTAAGTTCGCATGCCTGTGTCATGCCTTTGATTTTCTGAGCACTTTACCTGGTGGAAAATAGCACAACAGCGTGCACAGCTCTTTGCTGCTCGCACAACTCACTTGTATCACTGTATTTTGGCTTAACTCTAGGTTACAAAAGTACCATTACAGTAAGTGTCATGAATTTTTATTATAAGTGGAACCAATCATTTGATAAGTAATACTTAGTTTCATGCAAAGTGTGCTGCAGTCAAAGGGAATCAAAGAAAATACTTTCTTTTGCTTCAGGTGACCTCGAATCAGACGGCATGCATGGTATTAAAAATTAAGGAAAAAGCTTAAAATTAAAAAGAAGCCACATTAATAATTAGTTTCTTCTTCAGAAAGGCCTGTTGGGCTAAAAAAAGAAGGAGGTTAAAAAAATAACTTTGGTTTTTCTCTGCTGTACTAAAAATGGCATATTGTGTTTGGTCATGGAATAAATAGTACTCAAATGTGCAAAGAATTGAACCAGAGTTTGAATGGAATCCATATAAATTTTAAGTCATGGTTTCTTCCGTGGCAAAAGGAAAAAGATGTTTACTCTGAAAACTTCATAGGAAAATATAAATGCACTCAAGTGATCTATGAAACTTCAGGTGAGTTCAGACTCCTGAGGTAACAAGATGAAAAGTAAATTATTATTGCTTATTGGAAATCACAACAGCCAAAAAGATCATTAACAGCTCAGGACCAGAGAGCACGGAGGATTTAAAAATAGAAATGAATCTGTGCCTTGACTTGAGACTTATTCACCCTTAAGCTATTTAAGACTGCAAAATATTTGTAAGACAGTATCTTAGAAACACAATGACATGGAAATCCAGAAGATTCGGACTCATACTGTCAACACAGTAGGGTGGATATGATTTCCTCCTTGGATGCACCAACTGAAGTTGTCTTTGCTACAAACTTTGGGTAGCAAAAAGCGATCAGCGTGTTTTAGCAATGGTTCAAAAACAGTCTACGCAGCCACTTGCAGCTGTAGTATTTCCTCCTGTTGTTTGCATTTGCTCTTGGACTAAGCAAACCAGTATAATGATCTTTCTGTTTAATACATTGATACATTGGGATTTGGCTTTTTTTTTTTTCTTCTTTTCTTTGATCAAAGCAGGGCTGAGAAATGGGGTTTTATACTTACAATTTTCTGGCAGAAGCATGCCAAGAACAGGTTGAATGCACGTCGTGGAGATACTGTCAAATCAATACAGAATTCAGGTATATTTGTACAAATGCTACTATCTTCCATCCAACCTGACCCATATGGTAGCTGTGAGTCATGTGGAGGTATTTTCTGTTATTTCTGGGTCACTTCCAGATCCTTGCTTCTCTGTCTTAACTTTGTTTTCCCCCCTCTTCCAGTGAATCCTTATTAGTGGAATCCTGCGTCAGATTTGCTGTTGGTAAAACCCAAACTTGTTTCTACTTGCATCACAAATATGAAAAAAAAATCTTTCATGAAAAGTGCCACAAGCGCAGTGCAAATTGCTTTCTAAGACATTATCTTATATCTAATGAGCTTGTATCCGTATTTTGCCTGTAAGAACGGACAAAACCAAGGCAGTTACCAACTAGGCAGTGATTTACCTGCTTCTGGTTTTCATACCCATTATCTCGAAATGGAATTCCCATCTTCTAACTACATTTAATGAGAGCATTAATGTTTTCTAGTTAGAAAGAGAGAACTGGTATGAAGCCTCATGCTTTGCCTTCTCACAGAACAGTTAAATGGGAGCAGGAGAAAAAATGGGAAACGGCAAGTTAAGTTCTGAGCCCAGCTTTGCTTGTAGAGGTCCCACAAGGCAATAAAAACACGATATACGCAGTGTAGCCCTGCTGCTTCCTGAGCTACTCCCCTTCAGAGCTGCATTCAGCAAGACACAGTCGAAGGAATCCCCGAGTTTCATTCCTTTAGTTTTACCATTTCATTTTTTTCTTAATAATGAATACATTTTTCCATTGAAATGAACAAACCAAATAGCATTCTTCCTCGTTACGAGCCCCTTTCAGATGTCTCAGTGAAAGCTCTTACACCTTGCGTTCTGCTAAATGCCTAAGACTAAAGTCAGAAGAAAATGAAAGCTCCCAGGATAAGATCCATCACTGAATGGTCCGTGTCTACGGTGCCCTCATCTACGTCTGTGCTAGAAGCCAAACCTCCCTTTGTGCTCACAGAGACAGATGCATCTTAGGTGGGACTCACTTCATCTCAGAGTGGGTATCTAAAGCAGCTAGAACACAAGATTTGCCTTGGACACTGTTACAAGGATGTCTATAAATGAATGATGTCCATAAATGAAGTAGTCCCTACCTGCAAACAAATCTCAGTTCTGGCCTCTGCTGTCTGAGTACACAAGGAGCACTGGAAAGGGCACCGCACATCCAGTTTTAGGCAAACTGTAACAGGAATTACCCTATTTCTCAACTCTAACAGTACTCGTAGTTGCACACTCAGAGCACAAGGAGGATTGGGAACAGAACCTGTCCCACAGGAGAAACTCTTGCATATTTAAGTTTATTTCAAATAAATGTTCAAAGAAAAAAAAAAAACCCGAACTAAAACAGATTTAGTATATATTTGCTTTTCTTAAAAAATGATTCCATGAAAGAGTTTTATAGTTATCTAAGTAGTAATACAGTTTTTTTATATACAAAATTCCATTTCAAACAATTTACTGTACAAAAGAAAGTATAAGCAACTGTTACTATTTCATGATTTCAGCAAATAATGAAAAATTCGGATAAGTATGTGTTCAGGATATAGTTCTACCATTTACAGGAATGTCAGTATTAAGTTGGGAATACTTTCACATAAGTATTTACAGATGAAATTCCCTTCGAGGAAGTTCCTTAAGATTTCTCTTCAGAATAGGTAGTTCATGTTTGGCTTCCTTCTGGATCTTTTGGGCTACCGAGGAATGAGAGGAAGAATACTTACTTTTTCAACAAAATGTATGGACAGAATTCTGCTTGATTTATTCCCACTCACAGTCCTGTTGCAGTCAGTGGGCCTGACCCGGTAAACACTTACTACCAGGTGTAATGCGTATTGTGCGAATAAATCAGGCAGGATTGAGCCCGACAGCAGTAAGCTATCATAAGTTACGAATTTTAAAAATAGTGACATTCCTGCAAGTCAAAATACAACAGAAACAAGAGTTAACAAAATATAAGCCCTTTATTAATAAAAATCTTTGGTTGGATCAATATTTTAAATAAGCTTCAAGAATATTTGGTTAATACCATTTTCTTTCTTCCACATAATTTCTTTTCTGGTACCTTCTTTGGACAGACCACAGAAAAATATCAAGTTTATCACATACTTTAAAACAAATAAATATATCAAAAGCTAAATATGGCATAAATTTTTTTTTTAAGTTCTAGCATTAATTTTTAAATTAGTTTGGCAAAGAAAAAAGAAAAGGAAAAAAGAAATAACTAACTTCTCTTGAAAACAGTCCTTTGACGTTTGGTTTTGTAACAAACCATACAGTAGTTAGACTTTAAAGAAATCTTTCATTTTTATTTTATTTTTCAGTTTTATATTTGTAATGCAAGTGCCATGGACAAGACAAAGCAATAAGAGAAATGAGGGTAATTGCACCAATATTATTTGGAAGTGCAGTTTATCATTTGACAAAGCAAAACTAAAATGTACTATGTTTAAAAAGAGTGGTACTGATGGGATTTAGCTAGGCATCGTAAGTAAGGATTTTAGACTTATACTTTAAGGAAGCTCCTTGTACAAAAGATAGAGTATTTTAAGACAAAAGAAAAGTCCAGTAACTAACTGAAGGTCTGGTCCTGTAGCCCCAGTGCAGGCAAAACTTCCATCAAAGACAGTAAGTGGGACACGTTTTGGATTTACTCCTCCAGCACAACCTCTGGGAAAGGCCATTCAACAGCAGAAAGTCTGCTGTGAAAAACGGGTGCAGACTCCTTTCTCCTGCAGAGGATAGAGGGCTACAGAGAAGAACCTGGCTACGAAAGGGATGTGCTAAAACAAGAGGAAAAAGGGAATTTCCTCAGCAACAACGGTGTCCGAGTACTAGGCAGGGCAGTGTGAGTCACTGTAGCTCTACGTGTGCTCGTTAATTCAGGGCATTTAAGAAAATGCTCTCTGATCATCTACCTGCTGGCAGGATCTCCAAAATTGTGCTGCCGCTGCTTGGCCATGAGCAAGGAGCTGCTGGGGGACCACTCAAACAGAGCTGATGGGGCACTGAGGCACATCAGTCGTTCACTGGTGAAAAAGAACTTTTCCAGATTTATTTTTCTGATGTTTCTGAAGAAAAGCAGTGCCCCAGTGAAGGTCCCGGGTACACAGCAGAATGCCACAAGTGCCCCATGCGCCTAAAGCTCAGTGGGAGCTCTGCTTGTTTCAGACCTGCGGGTTCACACACAGACGTCTGCCAGCAGAGCTAAACCCTCTCTTGGGCAGCAAGTCAGTCTGGTGGGCGTTACGTGGTTTCTCTCCTGCCAAAAGGAGTACTAGGGCACACTCTAAAGCTGATTTTGCATATGCTTTATGGAGTTATCTCATGGACCTTCAAGGCTGGGGTTCCAAAAATATTTTAAATTAGTAGTATTACTATTACTTAAAATTTACCTTTATTTATTTAGTTAATTAATAGGCTAAGGTCAAATTCTCAGAGAATATCTCTATCAAGACATACTAAGTATCTGCATTTATTAATGCACACCAACGTCAATAGTGTTATCTATCGATGAAATATAAAAATTCCCTGCATTACTGCTTGTGCAAAAGAAAAAACAACAACATTATCAGAAATAGAACGTGGTCCTCCATATTTGTAAGAAGAGCGTTTCTCACAAAGATGGGAGCAAAATGGCAGCACATCCTTCAACATGCACCAGGTTGTCCATTAATCGAGTCCTGCCCTTTACGCAATGGCTTGTGTATCAGTGGAATGCCCCGACATATTTAACTCCCTCCTCTTCTATACGTCGAGAGGATACGAATGGCAGGAGGACAAGCTCCCACTGTGGCTCCTGGAGAGTCTGGGGCTGTGATTGTTACAGTTTTCACCTTTTTTCTTGTCCTTGTCTTTCCAGGTTTCTAGCATTTGCAGCTTGCCTTGCTCTTCTCTCATGAAGACCTCCACCATGAGAACTTTCTCTTTATGAATCTGCTGACTAATGTCCTTGGGAATGTCTGGGATAATCCAGTCAACAAAGTCACTCATAAACATGACCAAGTTCTGAAAATGAAATTGTGAGAAAATGTCAGCAGGGTCAAATGAAAAGATGACTGGAGGGGCAGGGGCCATTTTTGGTGTACTTGGGAAGAAGGAATGAAGAAAGGACAATATTTGAGTTGGGCTCAACTGCATGTCGCAAGTCTGATACTGAGCCAAACTTACCTCGACTTCTTCCTCATGCTAGAAATAGGAAAAAATGGCAGGCACAGATCTCTGATTTATGTACAAATACTATCACAGCCACTTGGAAATTCGAAGGGATTGATAAATGCCTTACGAGTTTTACATCAGAAAGGTCGAAGCAAATAACAAGAGGTAAAATGATGAAAGTTGGTAAAATGCATTCCAATGAAATGCTTCTGGTTTTAAAACCTTGATTCAATGAAAATTAGGTCTTTCACAGAAAGATACATATTTTGTAAAAAAAAAAAAAGGAATGAAAGTTTTGAAACAAGTTGTTTAGGTAAGACGGACTTAAAACACTTGTGTCACAATAACCAGCATCACTGTTGTGAGCAAATAATGTCAGTTAGTGAAAAATTACAACATTTTGCCTTCTCATTCAGATGCGAGTTAAACTCTAACTGGGAAAATTTTGGAAATTTCGTATCTTGGTTAGGTCTAGAAATTATTTTGGATGAAGTTTATGCTGCTTCAGTGAATTTGTTGATGTCCTACTGGAGAAACTGGTGGGATGTAATTAGTATGAGCCCTGTGCTTTGCTGCTCACTGAAGTCATTAAGTTGCTTCTGCATCAAACTGGTTCCGGGAATCCCTGGGGATGAATTTTTCCACTGAGGATATATCTGGGCCTGGGTGGGTGGGAAGAAGAGGGTGACTGAGAATGGGCAAATTTCTTTGCTTTTCCATGAAACAGCTGAGAAAGAAGGTATTTTCTTTGGCCTAGTAACTTATTTCCAAAGGTGGCTTGCCTTATGTAGCTGAAGAAATATGGTAAATTTTTTTTTTCCTTATATAAAAAGTGCCTGCAGCATAACCTACCTGGAAAACTATCACAAATGCTAATCTTGCTGCTAGGACAGCCCAGAAATCCTTTGAAATGTCATACTTGTTTTCAGACCAAGGGGGTTCTCGATAATCTTTGTATCTGCAAAACACAACTCAGTAAATCATTCAGAAATTTTAGCACCGCGAGGAATTAATACCCAACAGTCAAACAGTAAAACAAACCATCTAAAAGCAAGTTCACTATTACAGCATGAATTAACCTCTCAGAAACAAGACACAGTAGAAAACCTCCCACAGCCTTCAAGTTTTACTCAAAATTAAAGGTCTTCAATCTTAATAGCCTCTGATTAGTACTAATATCAATTCTGCATAAAGATGGAGTAAACTACACAGCTCAGATAATTTATTTTCTTTTAAGATTGGTAAAAAAACCCAAAACATATATTTTTCAGACTAATTTTAAAGAGAAAAATACTGATCTCAGATCCATAGAGTGTGTTATGCTACGTGATGTTCTCTTTGTTCATGGTTAGCAAAAGATTGCAGCTAAATTTTGCCATATAGAGAGAAGGTGAGAATTTTGCCTTAGCTATGGCTTACAGAACAATCTACAAGCTAATCAACAATAACTTGTTAGAAAAATACATTAAATTTAAACCACAGCATCCTGTTGGTATTTGGAAAGAATTAGGGTTCCATATTTTCAAATGAATTTAAAATCCCTCTAACCTGGAAGAAACGATGGGATGGGAAGAAGAAAGAGGCTGGGACTAGAAAGCAAATAAACCTGGTATTTTTGTGTTGGACCACGACACTAACACTTCTGTAAGTTCAGTGCTAAAAACACGTTTGCCAACCTCAGTTATCTTGTGCCCAGAGATCACCAGGAGGAAACCACGAGAAAGTAAAAGCAAGCAAAGCTCATATATATGCAGTCTTGGTTGGTTTATTTTCCTTTAACCTCAGAGTGATTTGTCTGTTTAGCAGTCACTTCAGCAGATTAACTTGCACTATTCAAATATATAAAGAATATACACTTAAAAAAAACCCAAACCACCAAAAAAAGTGGGTTTGGTTTTTTTTCCTGGTCAGTTGGTGTAATATTTTAGTATATGTATACCAAAATCATCTTTCTTTTTTTCTCCCCTGGAATGTCTCTTCCTTCCTCGTTCTCCTCTTCCCCTTCTTACCCTCACTGTCCTCCTTCCAGTTTGGTCCAAGCGCTTTCGCTGTTATATTTGGCTTTGGTCCCCAATGCTAAGCGTTAAAACATTTGTTTTGAAGATAATGCATATCTAAGGAGGCCTAGGCAAAGCATGCATTTCAGCACTGACCTAGATTGCTTCACAAACTCAAATATGCAACAATAATTTTCCATTAAAAATGAAAAGAATATGTAGAAATTTACAGGCGTGCAGATTAAGTAGGTCTTAAGTTCCAGTGCAGATAAGGATGCTATTACTCTTATCAGGAATTGCAACAGAAACTGGACAAAAAAGAGAGGTGTACTGTGAAGCCATGGTCATTAGATCAATAGCATGTGATACAATAACATGACATCAGAGTAGCATCGTTTTGTTCCCTTAAAGCATCATTATTTATCTCCTTTCCTGAAAAAAGGAACATGTAATAATAAAAATCTTTGCACGGACAAACACTGAATTTAACAACGCCAAAATAAGCAGTACTTCATATTGAGGTTTTGTGGTTGCTTAATATGTAAGCCACAATGTTCAAGGCAGTGGATCCATCTGATATAAAAGGCTACCGAGGTGCTAAGAAGATTGAAAATACAAGAGACCTGCCCCAGGAATGTAAAAATTTGTCCCATTTTTAGCCAGCTGCGACAATACTTAAAAGCAGTTATCATTCAAGAGAGTACCTGCATATCTGAACCTCGTAGCCAAGATCCATGGGGTCGTTTGGAGCTGTTCCTGCTTGAAAATCGCTGACATTAAAAGAGGATAGTGTATGGTTCACGAAGCCATGCATGGTGCCATTCTCACTGTACATATACAGGTACACGAGGCGTGGAATGAAGTCGGATGTGAATGAGATCACAAATGCCTAAGCCATAAGAGTAAAGAGTGAGCGCAATAGTCAGGCAGCGGTTAAGTTCACAATATCCTCAAGCACGTCTTGCCCAAAGAACTCGCGCAACTCGGGGGCTGCTTCAGAAAACAAAGAGGGGAGACTGCAGCCCACGGGACCCTACAAATGGAGTATTTGCTGCTGCAGCAAGGTCGTATTTACTGCTCACTCTTCCGAGTTGCAGGATATTAGATGGAGTAGTTCCAGGCCGACTGAGATTTCTACGTGGATAACAATCTGAACTCCAGAGAGAATGAAGCGGCCGTACCCCCCCAGCACCAGACCAAAGCAAAACCACGGTGCTGCTTCCCCGTGCCCCAGTCCCAGCTTGGCCCCGATGCATTGGATAAGGTCCAATCGATTGATTTCCGAGTACTTTTCTATTCTGCAGACAACTCACAGTGAATTGACTCTTTAAATTCTCATCGCATTGCAAAAGGCCATTGATCGTATGTGGTTTTTAACTCCACCAAGATAAAAGGATGAGCAGACTGAGCCCAGTTTTATATTTATGGTCACAAAAATTGCATTTCATTTGGTGATTTAAAAAGGTTTTCTAAAAACATCATACAGAAAAATGCAAGACAGCCAATTCGGCTGAGTTCTTCATAACTTTAGCCTTTCTCATTTATCATTATGAAACATTCTCACGTGTATAAATCTCATGTACATGCGGAACAAACAGGGTACAAAACATTTTACTTATTTTATGGTAAAGAGGGGTAGTATATAGATGAAAGAGGGAAAAATAACACTGGATAATGACGAAGATAGACTACATGGAAGAAAAGAGGGGGGGAAAAAAAAAAAGAGAAATATTTCCAAAGGAAAAGAGGAGAAATGGTAAAGACTAATTAAGGCAGCATACCAAATAACCAAAAGAATGGTTTGGCCATAGCACAACAGACACTTGTGGACAAACCAAAGGGATTTCCTGTCTGGATAATGGTGAAAAACCCGTGTGGGCCCACGGACACGCGGCTGAAAGCCCTACACGGCTCCTATTCTGCTGCATCGCAAACATGTTTTCAGCTTGTCATTCAGCTTTTTTTTTTTTTTCATCTTTCCCCAGGTAGGGTGCAATGAAGGTGATCATTGTGGATGTCTATTCATATAGAATATCAGATAAGTACATAAATTAATATATTAAGGTGTGCTAAAATTTTCTAAGGGCTGGGCTGTTCACTGTTGTAGTAAATAAAAATATTTTCATGGATTTTTAGAGTTATCTGAGTGAGAGCAATGAAGTTCAGGGCCAGATTTTCAACAGAGGGACACTGCGCTCTGATGAACAGAACTAATTCACACCCAGTTGATTACCAGACTCTAAATAGGCTTTAGCACTGAAATTAAAAAATACATCGTCTTAGTGATAGTATTTCAGAAGAGCAAAAGCAAGCAGCTGTGATCTTATTTGTTTGAAGGGCAAAACCATTTTATGAAAACATACTGGAAAAATGCTGCAATGACTACTTACTATTTTATATTATTGTTACTACTATCACAGCTTTAAAATAAACACTGCATCTGATTCTCTAATATTTCAGAAAATTTCTAAATCATATACTTTCACTTGATTTCCAGGAATTTATGCTGAAATAAAACAAATGGAGCAGAATGGAAAAGCCAGCCTATTGAGTTAAAATTTTATTCATGCCAAATTACTTACATTTATGATGACAGCAAGCTTTCCAATACCTCTGAGGATATTATACCAGATTCCTAAGAAAGGAAAGAAACATGTAAATGCTGTTCCAGTCATTAAAATTAGATAAATTACATTTTAAGTTAACAGCGTTAGGAGCACTTATGACTGTGGCAAATTAGAGTTATAATTTGTTCTTTTTATTTAAAATATAAGAGATTAACGTAATGACCTGTAAGCAAAGGGAGCCCAACCCTGTCTTCCAAAGCTTAGTTTAGGTGCCCTTTTTTTTTTTAGGTTTTAAGCTGAAAGCTTCTTTGAGGAAGAAGAAGGCAAGTGTGAGACAGAGCAATGCCGGCATAGGTAGAAAAGAAAAACCTCATGAAATTTCATTCAAACTTCTCAAATGTTTGAGGAGAATAAGAAGGCTACAGATAGGGAGCTGGAACTTCCACACGCGTGGTGCAGAACGTACTGATCTACCAGCTTTAAGGATCCACCTGAATCTGTTTCTACACCTCCTCATCACTATTGATCTTACCTCAGTTTCGAGAAAGCAAAGCTCCAGTGGAGCCACTCGATGGGATTTTTCCATTTGCATCTGGAAACCATACAGATTTCCTCAGCATGGGCTCTGTGCACACAGAAGGTAATACCAACCAACCCCATACCGACTCAGGTTCAACCCCTCTGGATTTAGTCTGAGGATGATGCATGAAGTCCCACAGCTCTGCCCCTTCCCCATCTCCAGATCCTGTTCCTCATAGAAGGGCTTCTCTTAGCGTACGTGGTCGTGCACCCTCATGCCTGGCCTCTCTAACAGTCTCCTGGTCATTAGTGACAGCTTGAAAATTTCTCCTTAGTTGAAGCACTCAAATTGCAAGATTCAGTCTTGATGGAGAAGTCCAGGGCTGCTACCAGATCTGCGTGGTCACAGCCCTGATGAGCAACTCTCCTACTCTGGGTCTGAAGAGGAAGGAAGGTGTAGGAGGCTTTACACAGGGTGATATCCCTGGGAGACACCTCCAGCCTGGCCAAATCCCGTGCCTGATAACTAACTCGTACTTCATGTAGCTTTGGTCTTCTGGCACAGCATACACAAGCCAGCCTGGACAGAGTACAGAAGTGGACTTCAGGAAAAGATATTAGAGTATCAGCGGAAGCAGAGATAGACCTCTGCTTGCTGCCAGCGGTTACCCACTGCCCTTAGCAGGTGGGACCTTCTCCCTTTCCTCATGCTGCTGACGCTTGCCCTAAAAACTCGTCTGGTTTGTCTGTGGCCATCTCACAGTGTCTGACTTTGGGATGTCTCTGCAAGAAGTGAGGTTCTTTAACCCACAAGAGTGGGATTGAATTTCAATAAATTGTAAGTAACACCCTCTTAAAAGTCCCCCAAAACCTCCAAAACCCCACCACAACCAAAAAAAAACCCAACACACATCCCCAACATCGCCACCAGCAACCTTAGCCTGCAGCATCAAATGAGCCAGCCACGAAACACCCCAAAAGCAATCTCGTGGTAAAGGCAATAGCATGACAAAACAGGACGTGTTCTTCAACTCTAGGATGATTCTAGGGCACAAGGATGAGCCCAGGGAAAAACTCGGCTTGCACAACCCCAGAATGAACACTGAGTTTGCTAACAGATCATAAACTTCTCCGCTCTTGCTGACTGGCTCTGTAATATGAGCAATTATTTTAATGAACTTTTTAGTCGTAAGTAACCAACATTTGGGAGAAACGGGTTCCTCACTGCAGACGCCCATCGCTGTTAGCCCCCCGCAGGAAGGGGAGGACTGGTCTGTTGTCACTGTACAACCGCAGAGCCCAGCTCTGAGCTTTCAGGCTTCACCCTTCCGACATTCGTGCTGAGCAGGGATGAAGGGACACGTGTACCCACAGACTTTTGAGTCCCCTCTTGTTCCCACGTGTATTTCTCCAGCCCAGTCCCAAGCTATTAAACGCAGAAATTTTTGCTACTGCAAGAAAACCGCATTGCCAGGAAGGACCGTTGATGTGCAGAACCACATGAGATATTTTGCTGTTGTATTGATCATTTTGATTTGAAAAGTGATATTGTTTACATAATAAAATATTCATCTGAATTTAAAGCTCTGGTCTTTCTATTTTAGAAGTAAAACCTCCATAAGTCATTACAGTTCACGGTTAAGCCACAGTCTAATGTTTTGAATTTTCCTATAAATATCTTCCTGTTAATGAAACTAACTCAACATAACAATATCTTGCCATCAATCCAGGAATAAACAAACAGGGATAACAATAGCAATGTGCACTTACCTATATCCTTTGCTCTGACTGCTACCGGTCTCCTCAGCTCGGTAACAAATTTTTTTGCATCTAGACGGATTTCAATGATATTGTTCAACAAAGCGAACAAAGGCGCCAGCGGGAAGGATGCAACGAACAAAGTTACAAACCCAAACTGAATAACTGAAAAGAAAAAGAAACCATTTCAGTGGCCACGGTCAGTATTTGTCAAATGCATGCACCACCACGTCAGTGCCAGCCCCCCAAATTCTAACAAGATGACACGTGCTGGGAGACTAAATCACATTTTCTGTCGGGCACAGCTTGCCCGACCGCCGCTCCGTTCCGGCATTGAAGGGCCAGTTGCTCCTCTTGCAAAAGGCAAGGTGAGCTGGTTTGGGCTGGGATAGAGTTAATTTTCTTCACAGTATCTAGCGTGGGGTATGGTTTGGGTTTGTGCTGAAAACAGTGTGCACAAGGAGTTGGGAGGGGACACAGCTGGGACAGCTGACCCCAAAGGGATATTTCATACCACATGATGTCAAGCTCAGCATATAAAGCTGGGGGAAGGAGGAAGGGGGGGACATTCAGAGTGATGGCATTTGTCTTCCTGAGGCACCGTTACGCATGATGGAGCCCTGCTTTCCTGGGGATGGCTGAACACCTGCCTGCCCGTGGGAAGTGGGGAACAAATGCCTTGGTTTGCTTTGCTTGTGTGCACGGCTTTTGCTTTCCCTGTTAAACTGTCTTTATCCCAACCCATGAGTTTTCTCCTTTCTACTCTTCCGCCGATTCTCTCCCCCATCCCACCAGGGGAAAGTGAGCGAGTGGCTGTGTGGTGCTTAGGGGTTAAACCACGACACAAGGCAAAGTAACCAGAAGGATGGGGAAGCTCCTAAAACAATTTCTCTGTGGGTGAGGCTGGCACAGGAGTGGGATTATGGCGGTGACTGTGTTAGCTCTACATAAACCTGCCATGCTCCACCCGGCAGGTTTTTAGCCCTCACTAATCCCACTGCAAGCTTTCTCTTCTGAAGCATAGAAACTTATGGGCTTTGAAAAGGACACGACTGATTCTCCGCCTTTACTGGGAATAACTTGCTTCCTTCAACCTGGGATTGTATCAGCTTTTGTTTGATGAGAACATCACACTGACATCATACTGTTAGTACTGGTACTGTTAGTGCCCCATCTTTCTCTTCCTCCCTTACTTCCAAATACTGATCTCAGTAACTGCATCTTTTCTTATTTTTACGAACTGATGACATGACCTTGTAGTTTGTACCATTTAATTTCAATCTTTCAACTACGCTGCGCATCAAAGTCATCAGATATTCTAATTTGCTTCTGGATTCACTGGGCATGCCAGTTTTTGGTATTAGCATATTTCATTATCCTTTACCACTATTTTTGCTGAGTTATTCCTTAAAATACTAAATAAAGTTGCTCTTTTAAGACAGATCCTTCAGGAATGCCTGATTCTGTAGCAAACAGCATTATGTCAAACAGTTCTCAGCCCTTCCGAGATTGAAAATAGGAAAAGAAATGTAGTTGTACAGCCACAGCAATGTAGGGCTGATAGCCGGTGCTTAAACTCCTTATCACTCGCTCAACATAACACATTACTTGAGAAAAAAAAATTATATGTGATCTGTCAAGTACAACCTGGTCTGCAGGGACATACCACTCGGAAGATTTAGTCCAGATTTCAGAAAACAGAAACAATCTGGTGTGAGAATACGCAATGGAAATTGTCAAATCTGAATTAAGTAACTTACTTCCAGTGTGGGGTGTACCTGATAATAAAACGTGCCTCACAATCTCAAGTTTATGCCATTTAATCATTTGCATTTGAAACTTGACAGTGGCACGTCCCATGGCTTGAATGAAAATATTTCAAATATAATGCTGAAGCAAGGGCTCAGGAAGAGCAGAGAGCACAATTCATCCCTGAAGCAGCCAGTGGTTGGCTGAAATATGCTCCAGCCCCAGACTATACACTTTAATAATTAAATTATGCCTCATCTCCACTGTCCACCGAATCTACAGTTCCAAAACCTCAGCTCTCCATCCCAGTTAGTCAGAATAACTGTGGTTTAAGATGCCTTCTGGCCACCTCACTCACTCATTTCCATGTATTCAGGGGTAAGTCCAGCGAAGGGCTCCAGGTTGTAGTCAACTTCGTAACGCTGCTTTTTTTTCATGTGCTCTTCATGGTCTAAAGAACGTCGACGCTTTAATTTCATGTATCGTATAAATTTCTTCATTTTTCTGGGGGAAATGAAAACGTTAGCATGCCATTCCGGTCAGAGTGCCCAATTCTCAGTTATTTTACACTAACAGACACAATAAGGTCCATACCTATTTTCATAAAAACTGCGCAAGAGTTGCAATACTCTAAAGGTATCAGGAATAAGCATATATAGGTACTGAACCCTGCTTTAATTGAATCACGTGTTCAGTATTACACCTCCTGCTAGCTAGTAGGAAAGCAATAGATTTTCTAACACTTTTCAAAGACGTCTGCATTGCTGGATGCAGTTGCAGCGAGGATGCAGGTATTTATTTGCAATACAGCAGACACAGGTTTACTGTAAAAATCTTGTAGGTAGCCTACGGATTATGTACACGTCAAGGGGCAGCAGGTATAGCGTATCGCGCGCACCGCAAAACGTGTTAAACCTCCCCCCCCAAATAAAAGTCGCTACTTACGGGATGCCAATCTCAAATAAATTGTTCTGAATCAGCTGCTTGCCCAACATGATAATACTGAGCTGGATACACAACTCCATTAGGCAACCGCCTGGAGCACACTAGGGTGGGCAGAGGAAAGGTCAGTCAGAACATCTGCTGCGTCCCTGGGGCAGGGGCAGATGGTGCTCCCACCCGAGGCGATCACAGACAGGGTGAAAACACAATTACCTCTTCCATTCGGAAAGAATGGAAAATGTAGACGTAGTCTCCTGGACGTCCAACAAATCTAGGGCACAACAGTCAGAATTATAAACTTCATATGTATTTTATACTTTTTATACTTGATTCCTAAAGTCATTTATATCAAACTCTGTGCCTTTGTGTGGGACCACCTAATGTTTAGTTCTGAGAAAGTGAATGACAATAATTATCTTGATTTTGTTTTAAAGAGTAAGTCCCGTTGATTGAGTAAACAACGTGGTAAAACTGCAAGTCTTGTGCCCTACAATATTATAGGCGCATCCTGTCAGAAATTCTCTAAGGTAATCCTCATTTCTGTTGCATTAGCCAGATCGTGCCACGTGGAGTATTTATTTTAACCTTGCGCTTCCACGCTGTTTGCAAGGAGAGCGCTGGTTTCTATGATATAAAGTTAAAAGCGGTGCCTTGTGCTTCCACGCTGTTTGCAAGGAGAGTGCTGGTTTCTATGATATAAAGTTAAAAGCGGTAAATAGACAACGGCAAATAGCCTGACGGGGGGGGTTGCATCTGAACGTACAAAGTTATCTTAACAAAATGGCTGTAACAAATTTGAAACACCAAAGTAAAGTCCCTGCTTTATCCCATGAGGCTGCAGAGGTTTTGGGTCAATACTGAGGAGTTTTTAAATCAGCTTTACTTTATCGTCCACCTATGGCCTTAGCTCAGCTACAGGGGTCTCGTAAGCAACAAGCTGAAACCCCGAACAGCCTTTTGCATTACTCACCGGCCTTTGAAGAAAGCAACGTAGAAAATGGGTGTGTAGGCATTGACAAATTTCAAAAAAAAATCAGTCGCTCTTCGAAATTCTTGTCAGTTTTTGGCACCTCTGGAACCAATGTGACATGAATAAGAAATGTTAAGGAATTATCCTGCCTGGAACATCTCAAGATCTTCTAAATGTGGACTTTGGAAAACATCAGCCATCTTTTAAACAAAGAGGCATATATTTATAGCGATATCAATATATTAAAGCAATATGGCCTCACTGAGGTCAGTGGTCAATCTGCTGAGGATCCCACCGTTCAGATGTGTTACAACAGTCATTCCAATTTCATTCCACATCTGGCTGACCTCCATGACAATCATTTGCAGATGGACGAGAACTTATCTGAAAAGACTGCTGGACCTTTTGTCACTGATGCTTTTTGGAAATAACACAAAAATTTTTGTTCTACCGTTTTTTTGCACTCAACAATTTTGCATTTCTCAACATTTCTTATGCCAACTAAAAAAATGGCAGAAAATGAAAAGAGTAATTGCGTGATAGAAAAGTGAAGCTCAGGATTATGTATAGGAATTTCTGCTGTAACCCCATCACCCATAACTGGATTAGTGATTAGCATTACCACTGCCAGAAGAAAAACTTTTAAAATAAAGCCAAATCCATGTGCGCTTTGATATTTGTAAGTACCTGGTTAGAATTTTAGCCACACATTTGAATTTCCTGGGTTTGCCCACCACGTTGAAGCTAATCATGAAAGCCAGCCAGTTGGGTCCTCTCGTTTAAAATCGCTCTAGCAAACATCAGTTGAGGATTTAAACCTACCGATCTGAGTTAGCCACCTTGCGATGCAGCTGTATACTTCATCCAGGATGATGATGACGACCAAATTGATAATGACTGCGGTGGCAGTGACGGTGACCCTAACGCTTGACCGGCCCGAGGGAGTGGAACTGATTGCCAGCGCCGCTGCAGTCGAGATCCTGTATATGATGACTCCAAACACTATAGCGAAGGTCAGCCCAACCTGCAAGCAGGAATAGCACAGCCTCTTATGAAAGATTTAACTATAAATACTTCACTTGGGAGTTAGAAACGACCCTAAAAATGGGATCTCTGGGCCACATCCCAAGTCCACCCAATTATGCACGAAGGCGCCCAGTCGCTTTGACGAACCGTGGGAAAAGATCCTCTTTTGCTAGTAATTTGATCATCACATGAAAAAAATTGATATAATGATGCCACTCTCACTTGCAAAAGGCATTTTTTAAAGGCACCTAAATGTAAACTACTATTCCAAATATCAGTGGGCTTCCTTTCAGCCCTAACAGCAGCAGCACGTATACGTGGCATTTGCTTCATTATAAAAGAAAGCCAGGGTTGAAGCAGAGAGGAGTATTTCAGCTTAAGTTTGCACACAAGCCTTCAGATATCCTACTCAGGCTCGCTATGCTGTCATAATCCCAAACTGAAATTAAATCCGACTAAATCAAGGCACTTCCTGGCAACGTAAAGGTGCACAAAATCTTACTCAATTTTTCATGGCGTACATAGAGGAGTAATTTTAAAACGTGATTTTTATAAGGCACTGATTCTTCAGCTGAGATTAGATTTAGTGCATTTCCATTCTCTGAAAATACAAATATTAAAAAAAAAAGAAAAAAAGCCACCCCAAAACAGAATCCCTATCCCCAAAAAACCCCAAATGAACTGAGTTAGTCTGACATATTCTACCTTTAGAAAGAGCTTAAGCTTGTTTATCCATTTGCCAATCTGTTCCATGTCTTGAATTATTATTATTTCCTTCAAAATTTATTTTAAATGCTGATGCTTTATCAGCAAACGGAGAAAGGCTGTTCTCATCATTATTTTACCTTTTTCTTGAATTAAGTGCTCTGTTTGCAATTCTCCTGTTAGATGATATAACCACAAGTTTGACTGATTGATTGAAAATCCTTGCAATCAGGATTGCAATTGGCCACATCATTTCTTTCAAAAAAGTCTGGTATAAAAATGAGGCCATTCTCTCCTTCCTGACTACTTTCTGACTCTATCTACCTTTTAAGTTTCATCCTATCAGTGGTGGTGGTAATTTCCATTTCCATGCCCTCATTTTTCCCCTACTCTAGTTAGGTATTCTCATTTCTTTACTGGAAAGAGACAGCAAAGTTGAAATTCAAGCTCTTGAAAAGATTTTAGGTTGTAAAACAACAGAATGCTTTAATTTTTCCACTGGGAAAAAGCCATTGTGAACCACATCAACCTGATAAAGCCTGTCACGGTTTCACTAACATTTCCATCACTTCTGTTCTACTACAATGTCTCGGTAATATAAATTTCAGGTTTTGCCGGGTGATGCTTACCATGAAGATAATGCCAACAAAATTGGTTAAATAGGCTGGGAAACGATCCTTCCATGTCAGCTTTTCTTTATCTGTCTAATGTTTGGGGAGAAAAAAGGATGCATTTAATAAAGGTGGAGCGTGCGATTTTGCACGTGACAAAAACAGAGAGAGGGGAGGAAAAAAAAAAAGTCTAGCAAATACACAACCAGTTAGAAGATGCAAAGACACAGTGTTTACAGTTACAATTCCACACAGGCAAATTGTTTACTCTGTATCTAGGCTCAAATTGGTCAAGCGCCTGCACTGCGAGTATAAATAAACCCGATTTTTCTGTATACTTTTTGAAGGAAAGATGCAAATAGGTTGTCATAAACCATGAAGTAAGATCTCTCTTACTGTTAAATATTTTCTTTTGCTTTCCTTAGAAAAATTCCCCTTCTCCCCTCTCCCTCCCCAGTGAATATTTGCAGCTTTGCAGTTGCACCAGTGGTTCCAGTGAAATACCGAGTAAGGATGCTACTCAGTAACTCCAAGACAAACACACAGTTGACAGGGAAGATCTTGTTTTGGCGTGTGATAAGACTTGAAATTCCTTCAATATGAGTGATTTTTAGCTACCTGACTATCCACGTGGTATTCGACGGACCATGCCGATAGGAGTTAAGATACATATGTATAATAACTCTTTATAGGATACCCTAAATCCAGTCGACCAGCCCCTGCCTGAATTTGGCCATGAAAATTTCATTTACAACAGTACTGCTCATCTAGAGTCCATCAACTTTGATGCCAGGAATTGTTTCTAAACACCAGAAAATAAACAACAAAAGGAACATGACGGAAGATGACGCACACGTTATAATGAACATAAAAATATTACTCAAATTCTATTTTTATTACATGCACGTTGTCTCAGGGAAGTGCAAGCAACTCTTTCAAGGCATGGCCCATGCTCCACTGCAAAACGCAACGTCAGTCCAGGAAGGTCGATCTCTGATTAGCCATGCAGTGCCATTCCCAACGCATAGAAACAGTGTCCCAAAGAAGAAACAAGGGGAGGAGGGGGAAGAAACCCAGAACTGAACGTGAATATTAAACAAAGGTTCAACAGCCAAAACCAAATTGATTTGTGTCTTCCATAATTACTCATAATTTGAGTTTCTTCATAAGTTTGAATAAAAAGAACCAATTTCACCCCAGCCATGACTGTCTTAACTCTTTGTCTCCATTTGTTTGCTGTCTCTTCTGGAAAATACCGATGCTTCTGATGGCAATCAAAGGAAACAAAAAAAGGATCGGGCAATATAGCATTACAAAGCACCGCTAAATTAATCTATATACTCTCTACCGACTTAGCGTACATAGCAGTTTAGCCACAAGTGAATGCTCTATTAGTTTGCTTAAGGCTTTGTGTCTCAGCTTCAGACTAATAAAACATAACAACAGCAAAAGACAAACCTTTGCCCCAAATCCTGGGGTAGATCAAACAATTCTTCAAAGGATATTCCCTTTTCAGTTTAGGATTGTGCCCCTCTTTTTCCTTTACGATGTATAAAGGATGGCCAAAAAGTTTTTCCCTTTTTTTTTAATTGGACTTCTCTTGAAAAAATATGGGCAATTTCTGGTTTAGTTTTAGGTGTTTTTTTCTTTAAGAATATTTCCAAGTTGTCTTACAACTGTTGAATTTGAACTTTAACACTATAGATCCCAATGAAAGATAATTACTGAGCCTTTCAGAAAAAACTCCTTTTCTCACGTTTCCCAAATTAGTAACATCCAAACTGAACACAGCCCAAAAAGTTATAAATAGTCTGGTTGCAAAGAAAAAAAAAAAAATCCTCTCTTAATTGCTCAGCTTTCATACTCCGATATTTAGAGGCCATCGTTCATTAATTGTCTGATGACCCTACAGTCTTCCACCTTTAAGATCTGAATTCCTAATAGACCCACAAGTACAGCGAGCGACGGGTTTTTAGCAGAATACAACGAAGTCTGTATTCCAAGCCTGTTTATCCAGCTGGTAAGACGGCAGCAACCCCAATTCTTTTTCTTCTGCATGGGATTTTAAAGCAGTGCTGCGAGTGAGTTATTGCACGTGCTGCTGAACTGCTTACGCGCTGCATCCTATAGATTAACGGGAACGTACCACCGTCGGCTTTGTAGCATCTTTTAAGAGGCACCCAATGGTACTCAAGGACAAGCACGTGACAAAATCAGACACATTCAGTTTAATGCCGGTCCAATCTACGTACGCTGTCTCTTGAATAATTAATGTTAACGTGGTTATTGCAGTTGTATTTTCATAGAGTTTTCATAAAATTCCAATTTAGGGCATGGTTCCACGCTACCGTGCCACTGGCAACAGATACAAAAGAGGAATTTCTGCCGACAGATTTTGTTTACGCCAGAGCATTTACTTCCCTCCTTAAAAATACGGTCGTACAAACAGCTGGATTATTGCAGTTGGGGGGAAATAACCTCAGGCAGGGTGGAAATCAGCACGCGGGGGAGAAAAGGAGCTTTTTCAAATCGGTGTGCTGCTGACAGACATAACGGGGAAGGAATTACAGCAAGGCTTGCACCGTCCGTTGGCGAGATGCACGTGCCCCAGGGATGACGGGCAGCACCTTTTTCCCGGTGATGTAAAGAGCAAGTTAAAAGCAGAAGTGAGCACTACCTTACTCAGCGGAATAAAACGGAAGTTATGTTTTTAAAAGGCAGAGAGGTATTATCAAAGCTGGAATTCAGCAGGGAAATTGGTGTTAGTACTCTTCATTAATGCTCTGGTAATATGTTTGTAAACAAAAAAAGTCTAGCAAGACAGAGAACCTCTCCTGAGAGGCTTTAGGTACTTGTAGTAGCACAGAGTCAGATGTTTTGTTACAGGTTTCTCAACCTCGATTCGTAAGCTTAATGGGAGCGCCCCTTCACTCAGCCTCAGCTTCCCTAAGCCACGCTCCTGTTCCTCATTATTAGACATTTCTAGACTTAATGAGGTCTTGTGCACTGGCATAGACCAAGCATCCCATGTATGCTCAGACCAAAGACATCTGGAATTTAAACACCATGTGCAGTGGCTTTATTTTTTAATCTAAGTCTTGGGTCAGTGCCTGCTGTAACAACCTTCTTTTTACAAGTTTTTTTTAATAAGTGAAACGAATGGGTATTTTTACCATACCTCTTTATGTTTGTGTTCTTTTCTCAGCGATTTTTCTAAAACTTTAGCTTCATATTCTGCTCTTGGATGATCCTGTGAAATAAGTCATATTTAATAAAAAGCAAAATTCTTTATTTTCTATATTTCCTACATATGAACTGTTTGCAGGTCGATTTCCTGATAATTTCCATGTTTTCTCACTGAATTTTAATTTACTCGGTATGTCATTCATGTCAACTGATAGTTGGCTGGAATTAAAACCCCAAAAAAGTTAAATCCCCTATCATTCGCAGTTCTACAGCAGCGACTGCAGAATGATCTGCGCTCGCTATCAGCCAGCCACATGCAACGCTGGGTGGGTTAAATTGAATACGTAAGAGTCTACAGCACAACCTGCAGACAGCGCGGTTCGTACCGTGTGGCGTTATGCTTGGATTTTAATTACCTATCTTTTTGATAAACATTAGATTTTGCATGTCATTAACTGTTCAATTCAGCGATCCTCAGCTCGCGAGGGAAACAGTTATCTGCTGTCAGTATGCAAAATACTTGGCTTTGGGATCCCAGAAAATTGTCAGTCGGGGTCTTCCTCTAATCCTGTCTTGGCCAGCATCCACCGATTACCCGAGTGCATTGAAGGAGAGGGTGTAGGAGACAGCCAAAAGATTCAGAAAGATTCACGGATTCAGAATTCACGGTAATTACGCATTCACGAAAGATTCAGAAATCACAATTATGCATCGGATGGGAAACAGAACGGAGTTGAAAAAAGTCTGAACGAGTGGAGAGGGGGAGGGTGTAAAGGCAAAGCAATCAGTGGAAGATCTAAAGAAAATCTGATGCTTGAAAAAGAAGAGGTGGAGATCAAAAGATGGCATTCATCAGTAGACACGTAATAAAAAAGGGAGGAGCAATTAAAAAAAAAAAAATGTTTTCCAAACCTTGACTGCCTCCTTCAGGAAACCAGAAAAAAAATACGAAAAACAAGAAAAAAAACAAAACAAAACAAAAATTTGATTACTGAACTGTTGCAGATCATATTGGATTTATATTTTTTAAATTACATGAAACAAACATAGGTACAGCGGATGGCTAGACACTACCAGAGAAATTCAGTCTACTCATGTTCTACAACACTTAGTAACATGACTGTAAGTACTGTATGGACTTGGTGTCCCTAAAAACACCAGAAGATGAGACACTTTGCGTTTTAGTATATCACTTGAAACCCCGATTCTTCAACATGATACTAGCTTAAGTTTCACCCAAATCAGAAATGGGAGGAGATTAAATTCTTTGCTAAACCCCTGACTCTATTATCTAGCACTGGCCACATGAAACAAAGAATAAAATATTCTTTATTAACAGCTGCTGGTTGAGCTGTGTAAGAGCTCTGAACTCAGACATGAAGGGGATAGACATTGGAAAGATACAGTTAATCCTTTCTACTTTCATGTATGCTAACAACAAGTTACCAAAAATAAAAGAGCAGTACAGTATCCAGGAAATAAATCCCTATATTCTCTCCCAGTAAAATAGGTACGGGCTAGCAAAGCGCACGGCGTAGGGGCTGCTGGCACAGCGCGCCTAAATATATTGTGGAGGAGATAAACATATTAAGAGGAGATAATTCAAGCAGAAAGATTTTGGGGGTGAGGGGAACAATAACTGTGCCGGGCTCGTCAAACTGCATAGTGTTAAACCCAGGTTTTTGTCTCACGTGAGCAATATTTGTTGTGTATCTATTTAGAACATCTAGAGATATCACAAGGGCGGTCATGCTTCTTTTAATAATAACAACAGCAAAAAATAATAATTAAAAAAAAAAAAAAAGCGACGAATGCCTGTACAACCCGTACCCGTGGGTCCCAGCTCGGACCTGGCAGCGGGGTTTTCGGAGCACGGCTCATCACCTACGATGGGAAAAGGGAAGGGACCCGCGCGCCTCCGCCGCCTCCGAACCAGCGCGGGCCAGGGCTGCCGGGGCTGGGACTGCGTTATCATCTGTCCAGGAAGGTGTTCTCCTTTTTTGTAAAGCGACAAAATTAAAAACAAAAAGGTGGGATACAGCTTCTCAGCTGGCTGAGGATTTTCTCTCCTTTCCTTCTAAAACTTCGTTGATTTTAAGAAGTTTTTTTCATAAAGATTTGGCCCTTTTCCCCCTCATGCTATTCAGCACGTTTAGTATAAACCTGGCTAGGGATATTTGGGGGTTTTTAGCAAATGAAAAAAAAATTAAAAATACACCTCCACATTTGTGTCTCTCCCATTGCCCCAAGCCCACATGTCTGGCAATATTTTCTTAGGTATTTTCCAAGTCAGGGCTTGATCCTCCATCGTTAAATTTAATAGGATTTTTTCAGTGCTTTTTTACAGTGCTGTAACTTTATCACCTTTGATACATTCGTTTCTGATTTACAGCAGCGGGAGATGAATGAGGTCCTTGGTTGTTAGCACCCTGACATCAGCCCAGGAGTAAGGTCTGAGCTGTATATTCCATGCCTACGCTGCTAGGTGTGACCCGACTACACACTTGAAAAAAACCCTACATTTTGTGGCTATACAATTATGTTTCTATGGCAACAAGACATACTAGTCATACCCTTACTATAAAAAACCTCAAATAGTTCATGTAAAGGATTTTCCTTTCTTCTAAATGACAGAACCGCCCCAAGAGCGGCTCCCCGTGACGCAACGTCTACGGGCTCGGGGCAAGGGGCTGTCGGCAACGCTGCGGGGAAAGTCAAAGAGTCAGAACTGCAGGGACCAACCTCCTCCTCTTCAAACCCAGTCAGGTCCCACCTGTAGTTGAGACGCATCTGTTTTCTCTTCCAGTGTTCCATAAAGGTGGCAGCTGAAAAAAAAATAAACAAACCCAAAACCAGTTTAACAATTATTTTGACATTTTACAAAAAAAAAAACCCACCCCACAACCCAAAATAAAACCCCAAAGCATCAGCCTCTGGGATTTGCCTTAAGCGGCGTGCTGGCCACGCTCCGCATCGCCTGACGGATGCCGCCCGGCTCTTGCCTCCAAAAGGTCTCAGCAGGTGCAATATCACAGCGTAGACCCGGCCAGGGTCACTTCATTTTTGTTACTCTTTTATTCAACAGTCTACCTGGGAAATACTGATTAGCAGTGTGAGGAGCCAACCTTTTTATCTAGGCAAGCTAAAAGAAAGGGCGTTTATTACAGTCACAGCTTCAAGTAGACAGATGCTACAATGTTTTTAAGGGGTGTGAGGAAGTCAGACACCCAAATTTATTTAAATATTTGTATGTGTGACTAATGATATTGTTGGTCTTCATCTGCATATAATTCCATCCGTAAGTCCAAACAAACCTGTATTTTATCTATACCAAATATGACTGATTTAACTAGCCTTGTACTGATGGGATAGTTATTCCCTCAAAGATATCAAGATAAAGCATTTTTATATTGCTATAATTACATCCATATAGTGGTCACAATAGTATAGCTAGCTCTAGTGATCACACCCAAACCCAAATACTCGTGCCAGTGAGAAAGCTGCAGGTGGGCAGGCTGTTACAGAGGAAGCCTTTAAGGGCTTTTCTCATTAGAAACACTGCCGTTGTTTTTTTTGACGGAGGAGACTTACAGAAAAGAAACCTCATTAAAGGAATTCTTGAGTCCCAACAAACGATCCCGGTCTATATCAGTCTATCTGTCTCTGAGACCGAGCAAGTTCTCAGAGGACATATTTAGATGCTGGGAATACACCAGTGCTGTATAATAAATAAGTGATTATGAAAGAGGCAAGTCTACCAAGAAATGGTGTTCCCAGGGGAGTTTCCCACAGTGAGTATTAACAGATGTGCTCAGAAACATTCATATCCAGAAAAAAACGGAGGCAGGGAGAGGGTAAGAAAGTTGAATAGAGAGGAAAGGACACCCTGATGACTGGAACCAGGCTGCGGTCACGACATTCATTCGCCTTCCAAGTAAAACTCTCACGTGCAAAACTTACAACTAAGCCCCTTTACGAGCCACAGGCTTCCTGTAAATCGGGATGGCCACAGCTGTATCTTAAGAGGGTCTGTGTCATGGTCCTGGAATTGCTTCCCCTTTCCTCACCGCCGGCAGTTCTCGTGCCGGGGTCTGCAGCTTCCACGTACAGTGAGCGATACGGAAAATGAACGAGATGTCGTCTCTTTGTGCTACTAGAAAAATCTCTCTGTGGCGCTGACTTACAACGATGCAAAATGGACAGACTGCGTCTGAAACACAGCCAGCTCATTGCAAAAGCCCTCGGCGAACGTGCCAGGTAGCGATGCACCGCCGCTTTGCCAAGCGCATCTGCATTTTCATATTTCATCTGGGCCCACAAACATAAGCAGAGCTTAAAAATTAGAAAAAGCTCACTGTCCAGATGCTCTTATCTGGATTCTCTGAGGTTTTTAATGTCGTTTAATACCAAACAGCACTGGGGCGCAGTCCATGTTTAATGCTGACCTTCTAACCAGTGCTATAGCTGTTGTAACGCTCGTGTGAGTAGAGTTCTCCAGGGTGTTACAATACCACAATATTGGTCACAATAATACCCCTGAACTTGGGCTAATTTTCTTGCCATGCTCAGGATGCCCTGCGTCACCGGAGCAGGTTACTTGGGTCTCCTCTGCCTCAGCCCTTCAACTGTACACAAACCTAAAAAACTTCCCATTACACACAGGGGTGTTCACAAATGGCACTGGAGAGTGTATGCGTGCCTACATTTGGAGAAAGCCAATTTTTGTTGATTTTCCTTAAATAATAAAGTGCTCATTTAATTTTTTTTTTTAAAATCGTTTAGACAAATCCTTTAGAAATGAAATTTGCAATAACACAAATTCAAAACTACGTGGAAAAAGTTCTAATTTTCTCAATTAAAAAAGACCTTTTTGAAACAACATTTATTTTATGTGCTGTTGTACCACAGTAACATTTTATGTTGACCCCAAAGAACTTGAGGAATTTCACATCCCACTCCAAAACTATCCCACATATTAAGCCTGACTCAGTAGAGAACACAGAAACTGGCTTCTGTCAACCTGCCTTACTTTGCCCAGGAATGTAGAAAATGGATGGAGGGACCCATAGTTGTTTGCTAAGGAAAGGGAGGCAAACAGAGTTACTTTTTGGGCAACAGAGTATTATGTGCCAAGATCCGTGCGGGGTTCAAAATAATGGTAAATGCGGGAGACCGATACTTGACTCGCCACGTGAGAGCATCAGGCTATTTAAAGTCTCTGACACCACATCCTGCTTTGGGGTATATCACGTTTCTCCCTATGTGCTACGGGGCGAGATGATCTGCAAAACAGTGATCCCTTTCCTCTGCTGAGAAGCTGGTCATGTTCTACCTCCCCCCCACTTCCCAGCTTTCTCTCCAAACACACAGTGCTCTCGACTCCCCAGTGCTCCCAAAATTCCTCTGCAGGACCGTCCTTATCCTATGGTACTTGATAATGAGCTCTTCGCTTGGCCTCTAAAACATAGTCATCTCAAATGGAGACCCTGGTCAAAAAGGCACTGCTGTAAATTGAACTACGTCAAATTGCACTGAAATCAGTTCAGATGAATGTTAATGTAAAAGCGGTTCACTACACACGAGCGCAAATAAAAACTTGGGCTATGGTTTTAGGATTAAATGTAATCCAAACCAGGTTATTTGCTAACTCGCAACAAGGCGTACAGGAGGGGCAAACGTCATCTTGTGCAGCTCTCACTGACGCCGGGACTATGTGGCTATCAAATTCAAAGCTGGGGGGAATAACGCACGTTTCCCTGCTGTCTGTACAGGGCTTGGTTACAAACATGGGGTTTGGAGCCCATCAGCTCCCTTTTATCTTTACAGGCCCTCTTGGCCCGCAGCGAGGACGACGGGAGGCTCCATGCCTGGTGCTGGGGTGCCCGAGCAAGGAGGTCCCCATCCCTCCTCCAGCAGCGAGGAGAAAAGCCCTCGATAACCATTCCTGAAGACACTCTCACGAAGATTTCACGAGAGGGTTAATATATTTAACCAAGTTCTACGCACGTGCCAAGAAAGGTTAAGTGATGTGCTCAAAGTACAGGAGCCGTCAGCATCAGAAAAAATACCTATAACGCCACCGTTCCGCTTCATGGCCTACATGCATGATGTCTGGCTACTGATAAACTTAATTGCATCTCGGAGCACACTCAAGAATCAATCTTGGTTTGTCCTGAGACGCTAAAGGCCATTACACTTCCCTGCGGACCCCTCCTTGCGCTCCCAGAGTACATTAATACATTTCTTCTGTAATGTTCTAAAGTGGAAGCTGGCTCTGCAAATAGATTAGTGTGTTTTTTTGGCAAGCTATGCAATCCCGTTAATGAAATTTTGACATACCACACAGCAGTTTTATGACAGATGCTTAACAATTTCATTTGATATTCATCTTGAGCAACTTTTTGAATTTTAGCCTTCAGTCCAGAATATAAATTTGGGGGTGACAGTTTCATGGGAATTAAAAAAAAAAAAAAAGATAAGTTCTTTATATAATTAACTGCCTGAGTATAAATGCACTGCTTTATCTCTTCTGTTTCTTCCTGTTGTATTTTAAATAATTAAAAACTTCACATGAAGGCATATATCTTCTTACCCCAGAGAGCCATGAAGACCGAGAAGAAGACAGTTGCAGGGTTATCGAACAGATGACTTGCGCGAGCAGTCGCACAAGCGGAGCTCATCTTCCAGTAGCTGCACGTTCTGTCACATAAGGGACACATGGTGATATTGTTTCTCTGGTCACACATTTCCATACTGCGACAAAACAACAAGATAAGGAAAAACCACGGTCAGTACGGCTCCATCTTCCACGCACCAATGATCTTTTCTCTGCACAGCATCTTTCTGGTCTGTGGGACCATGAGATAGTACCCTCGCAGTGCTTCCCAGCTCTTGCTCCCTCCAGCACCTCTGACCGTACCCTACACCATCGTAGGGGCCGAAACCCTCACGCGAGGCTGCTGCCTCCCTCCATCCCCTACTTCTATTCCAGGGCATGAGAGAGAGCATCATGAGAGGCAGCATCACGAGAGGCATAAGGCTCTATGCTTTTTACTATAGGATCTTACAGTAAAAACAAAATTTAAAAAAAATTAAAAATAAAATTTAGAAATCATTCTTGTTTTGAAATAACTACAGCAATAGATAAGGTACAAGGGAAGTGCTGAGTATCAAGAGACTGGAGTTCAACCAATTTATCTTCTACGCACTCCAGCTGTGAAATAGCAACAGTGACACTCAAACTTTTGACTTTCTTCAACTTTTGGAAGCAGTACAAAGCAATCTTCACGAACAAAAAAAAGAAAAATAATCTATTTTTCGATATCCGTTATCTGCTTTGTTATTCAGTGCCCATGCTTGTACAAACTATATAATTTTCATCTATAGCTGATGATGCATGCAGGGTAAATAATGCAAAATCATAGGGCTTTAAAAATATTATAATACAAAACTTATTAAAAAATTAAAAATAGTACAACTTCAAGATTTTGTTAATCTGGCCACAATTGCTTATTTTAGGCATGTATATTCTTGATTCATCTTTATGTCACACAACGCCCTCCTCAGCACTTGATGATGGGAAGCACTAAAACCTATCATTAGCAGTATTTTGTTGGTTTGTTTTAACATAATGATCTGAGTTAGGGGGAAAAAAAAAATACCTGAGCAACTGGCCAAGAATTAATTTTAGTACTTCCATGCAAACTCCACAAGTAATATTAACAACCAGTGCTAACGATTTAAAGGCGTGCTGCAGTTCTGCTGCTCGCTCTCCTCCTTTAGTAGCGCTCCATCACTTACTGGAAGCAAAAATCAGTGGGGCTGCAAGCTCGCCCATCCATGCAGAGGTGGCTTCATTTTAAGCACAGCTTCCAAAAGACGAAGCGTGCGGGGTGTGAGGAGGGAGAGCGGTGGGAGCACGCTGCACCCCGACAAGCACCACTTGGCAGAGGGACCTCGGGAAGCCACGGCCAGCAAACACGGGTTGGGGTATCGGGCTGCAGGTGGCACAGAGCGAGCACTAGAAACAGGGAGCCGCAGTTTCAGCTGTGCTCGCCCTAGGTATTAGTGCGAAAACTTTGAGTTTCTAGCGGCCTCCAATAATAATCTATTTACTTATTTATTTTACCTTGGTATATTCTCATCCACAGTTGCGCAGCCATAGAGGAAAACGATAATCCCTACGATTGAAGCTGGAATAAGCATTTGTGTATAAACTCCCAGCCAGGCAAAATATAGCCCAATCTTCTCTCCAAAGTATTTTCTGAAATACATTAAAAAAAAGAAATGAGAGAGAGAAATGTTTCCTATTTCTTAAAATATAACATGGCTAAAATTACAAATCGCAGCTGGATTAAGCATGGAGAAAGTAAGATCTGATGACCTGTGGGAATTTTTTTCTTCTCAGAGCACTCTCTTTCTCATGATGCTTGGAGTTAATCCAGAGATACAGGCACCATGAAAGCAAGTCAGTCCAATTAGTAATTTTTTCCCCCCGTGTTTCTACTGTATAAATTGGTATCTTTGGATCTTCTGTGAGCTAATCCTCTTTAAAAAGCACCTAACTTTCTCCAAAGAGTCTCAGCTCTCACCACGACCAAACAAAATTCATTAAACATATGTCCCCTGCAAGCTTTCACACTAGGTGGGATACATCAGCGTGTTTCTACACCCACCAAAAACTCCTTTCCCCCCCAGCCAGTGAACTGCCTGTTCTCCAGAGTCCCCCAGGGTGGCACCGAGGGCAGCGTCCACGCAGGGACGCTGTCACGAGCATCACTGTGCACAGCTTCAGCACTGCCCTGTGGAAACACGACGTTAGGGGCTGACGTCTTACCTCACCAGGTCAATTGGCTGATATTTGTAAAAGACTCCATAGCTCGCCCACTCCTCACACAGGAGCTGTAAAACAGAAAGGCAAGGCGAAAGCTAAAGCATCGCGTGCACGAGTGTTTTCTCATAGAATCATAGAGTGGTTTGGGTGGGAAGGGACCCTAAAGCCCATCTAGTTCCACCCCCTGCCACGGGCAGGGACAGCCTCCACTTGCCCAGGTTGCCCAAAGCCCCATCCAACCTGGCCTTGGACACTGCCAGAGAGCCAGGGGCAGCCACAGCTTCTCTGGGCAACCTGTGCCAGGGCCTCAGCACCCTCACAGGGAAGAATTTCTTCCTAATATCTCATCTCCATCTCCCCTCCTGCAGCTTAAAGCCATTACCCCTTGTCCTATCACTACATGCCCTTGTAAGAAGCCCTCCTTTAGTCCCAGCAAACTGCAGAGCTCACGTGGTAGATCCAGTCTCACCACTTTGTGGTTTCAACCCATATTCTGCCAAAACACACAGTTTGCATTAAGTATTATAAACAAATTTGATGATTAGGCATGCTATAATACAGTGATGAATTCTAGTACATTAAAAGGCTCTTCAGCAACAGGACTGATGGATAACTATAGCAGGGATGGAGAGAGTAGGCCTGATTTTATGATCCGTACAAGGTACCTAGCAGAACGGATGTGAAAGATGAATATGCTTTGAGTTAGAAGACAGAAAAAAATAGAATAAACTGGTTTGTTTTCACTACACTAATATTCAGGATCCATCAGGAGGAGCTGTGCAAAGGTGCCTCGAAGGCTGCATTTAAGTGTTTTTCAGCTTTCAACTAAAAGAACACGGTGATTTCCACTCATCCTTTTGGTTAGGATATGGGCCAAGGAAAGCAATGATCACCATTAGTAATTTATAAAATTGAATCCCTCACAAAAATAGGTTCCTCTGAGACCTTCACCTTATCCTTTACTTCATAAAATATATTAATAGCGCTTCGCAGATCTGTGGTGTTTTGTGGTTTGTTTTTTTTTTTTCCTTAATTCAGCTAACAGAGAGAACAAGAAATCAGTGTGTGCACAAAAATATACTGGAGAAGATGAAGTGTGCTCACTGGTCACCCAGCCATCACCTCCTTGTGGGACAAGGGGAAGAGAAGCTTTACATCTGCTTGTGAAGTCAGGTCTCCCTTTACTGCTCCTCCCCCTGCTTCAACCCAGTGACATCAACTTGGTAGCAGGATGTTCCTGGACCAGCTACTGATATTTCAAGGAGATGCTTTGATGATCACTTCTGTTTGCATTAATTCATCCGGTAACATCATCTTTTTCCCTTTTTCCTCTTTTACCGCTCTCTCAAATGCAATAGCATGAACGGACTACTGCTGAAGTATTTATTTTCATCAAACATGGGGTAAAAAAGAAAAAAAAAAAAAAAAAAGGCAGAAAATTTCAGAGCTTGGTTACCCAAACCCTCACCGGTGGGTGAGGGCTGCACAACCAGCGCAGCTGTGGAAGAAACCGCAACGGGCAACCGAGACCTAAACCAGTTATCATCACAGGGAGGGCAACATTATTAATCTTATTCGTAGAAGAACAGACCAAACAGGATGTTATTGCTTAAATCTGTGGGTTATTTTATCATGGGAAACTTGACATGTGTCAGCCTCCTCCACTTCTCCAGCGAAGGGCAGCAAAGCAAGGAAGGGCAGACTAGCAGCCCTGCTGCCGCCCGTACCCATTCCTCCTTCTCGCGTTTTATCGCAGGGAAGTCATACAGAGAACAGCATTTCTAGAGCAGTTTTGCAATTCTCTTGCCAAATCATTAACACAAAGTTTCCAAGCTGAACTGCTGTCCTTCTCGTGCGAACGGTTCAAGTCACTCAAAAAAATACAGCTTCTTTACTTTTACAGAAATATGATGTCAAAAATGTAAGTGGACTGTGGATTTTCCCCTCTGCAACCCAAAATCACGAATCTTTATTAGTTTCCTTACAATAGTAAGAGCAGAAACTGAAACCTAAAGGCAGGCCTGTATTAAACAGCGACATTCTTGCAAATTTTATTTTTATTCTGCTTTAGGTTTCTTTCAACCACGTTTCCAAAAGTTTAAGGCCAGCTGCTTATGTCTGGGAAACAATTAATGACCCGGGACACCTCAACATCCATGTGCACTAAGACCCTTCCTTTTACAACTTTTTTACTTCATTTTTACAAGCTAAGCTTGTGCTAGAAATTAGATTCCCTTTCTGTGATCTAAGATGGTTAGGGATATCAAAATACTAAGCTAAGGGGATTTTTGCATCAGTGCCATGTTTCAGTTTTGTACAGCGCTTCAAATTTGCAGTTAAAGTACAAATGAATTATCTCATTTATCCTGGCATTTATCAGCCTGATATTCAAAGCACAGCTTCAAAGACATCATTAGAGGAGATCAGGGCACTAGCCCTAAATATTTACTTCACTTCTATGCCTCAAATCTCTAATTTTGTTATTAAAAAAGGCACAAGCCTGGCCTAGCAATGGATTAGATTAAAGAAAGCTTCAAGAAACCAGAAGAGACATGCCAAAACACACCAAAAGATTATTTGAGGGAACTGGAAGTCAAAAGCCAAGGTAAACATTTCCAAACACAGAGTGAACTTACGAAATGAGTGAATTTGCAAGGTTTGAAAAGTTAGTAATAAAGATGATAATCCAGATGCTTTGAGAAAACATGGACTTTCATCCTATTTTTGGTTGAGCAATGCGTTGCTTAATAATGACATGACAGGTTAGTGGTATTTTTAACACAAATCAATAAAGGGGGAAAATAACAGTCACTGTCTTTTGATGAGCCATTTGCACCTCGAGGCCCATCAGATCTTTAATTTGGGGTACCTATTTTTACGTGACCAACTTGGAGGGCTTTAGATCTGCTTTTCCTACGACATGACCTGAGCCCATGCTGGTCCACAGCATTTCTTTGGAGACGTGACCATGAAACAAACCAGAAACGCAAAATTTCAAGGCTGAAAGCCCCACTTACATGGCACCCAAATTTAGTAGCTCCTCCCGAGAGAACTGGTTGTAACCCCTCTACTTCAGTTTTTGCCTGATACATGGAAAAGAAGCCTATCTTCTGCAGAGAAGTGTGATCTGGAGTATGTAGTAATTGCGCTCTGACTTTAAGAAATCAACATTTCTGCAAAGGGTGAAAAATTTGCTTTTCCTTATGAAAATTATTTCCTTAGAATAATTCCTACTTGCTCTACTACCACGAACAAATGTCTTTCAATGTACAGGCAATAAAAACATAATTTAAACCACAGACTTACACGAAAAGTGATGCAATGCATCAGTATACATCCACAGGGCAGTTTTGGGCTGAACAGCGCACATTAAAGCTCTGCTGAGAATGCCTCATTTGTGATAAATATTCAATCCGTAACTTTCCCAATAACTCTTATGCTTATGTTTTCAACTGTTTCCCTCCACCTCCCCCCAAATCTGATCCTCACACTCCGGATCAGCAGCACGTTAATTCAGCAGAGGTTGCAGTGCTGAGACCGGAGCTCGCCGTGGAGTGAGGCAGGATTTACGTCAGATACGGATACCAGAATATGACTGAGCAAATTGTCATCAGAGCTGGCCTGAAATTACATCAACTGAACTTTAGGAGGAGTTATATGTAAATGCTGTCAATACTTTTACCAACATGGCAAGAAATTTATTATTATTGAGCTAGGTAATTTATACATATCCATACTGCATTCCACATTCGGGCAAATTTAAACACTGGAAAGTACTTCTGTGCTTCTACTGCTTGGCATTTAGCGCCTTTTTGCAGTATTTTCTGTGAAATCTTTGGCAAACGTCCAGATTCCAACAGGTGACTCTTCAGGCTGGGACACTTGGGAATATATTAAACCCCCCTTTATATCAACTTACTTTTCTGTCGTTAGGTTCAACGTTTTCACCTTCATAGTCACCCTTTAAAAAAAGAAAATCTGCGTCATTCAGTGAGTCGCGCCCAGAGCTGCTATGCATCTTGCATACCCATGTATCCCCCTCACTTAATGCATCAAAACCAGAAAAAGCAATCTGTAAAATAATGCTGTATTTTAAGAGTTCATTTGTCATAGCACACTTTGTCTTCTGTCGTCAGGCACATTAAGGAAGAGTAATAATGTCTGTCACTGGGGAAAAAGGAATGAATAAGTGATAAAGGTGGCCTAAAAATGTCAAGGGAAAGGATGCGGTATTGCCACAGTATTTGGGGTTCAGCTCAGTCCACTTGAAAGAGAAGAGACCGGCTGGAAGAGCTGATCCCTATCCAGACTCTCCAAACACTCAGGGCTGATTAGATTTGAACTTTTCATTTGGAGCTATTCTTAAATACGATAAAGGAGTAAACTAAGACAATAAATAACTTATATACAAGACTATCAGTAGCTGTCTAAAGACGTGAGACAAGAACATGCAGAGAAGTTTATTTAACCTTTCTGGATTTCTAAGCAATATTGCTGTAGCTTAAGAGTGCCCGACGTGTACGATAAACATCAGGCAGATAAAAAGACTGTTCTGGTCTCAGTTACATCGAGATAAAACACTCGTGGTCCTGTGTACAACCAGTGCGAGTGAGGGGAGCAGAAAACTAGGAAGACACACTTCATCTTCACATCCCAGACCGGAAAAGCAGCACCAGGCTCGACAGCCCTTGTACGCTCACACAGCCAGCACATCGTGAGCAGCAAGACCGCCACGTCCCCTTGACGTCTGTCAAGCCTTCCTGTAAGGGTCTAGAGCATGTGATTGTCAGTTCTAGTCGTACCTTGAACCTCTAAGTAAAAATGTCATCAGCGTCCAACCGCTGTGCACCTCTGGCAGGACGGGGATCCCCAGCTCGGGTATGAGTGCCACCAAAATTCCCTACCCCTCTCTAATCCTCTCCATGAACACTATAGTTGAACACACTCTTGACATCTTACTGAACTGCTCAAAAGAGATTTCATCAGTAAGAAGGTCTGCAGTCACATCCAGTCCCATGAAACGTGTCGCTTCAAATTCTTGCTTATGGTTTTTCCTCCAATGGCAACCTATCGCATGGACACACAGCTACTGACATCTCCGTACCTGCCAGGGGGATGCCAGGGAGATGTGGATGAGGGAACTAGCCACTTGGTGCTCCAGGAATAAATATGTTTCCTAGCACTGATGCCAGGGACCTCGGGAGCAGAAGGTCAGAAAAATAACAGAAGCATTTCGTCTGACAAGCCACCAAAACAATTCTCCTAATGTTACGTTCAAACATCACTTATGATCACCAAAGGTAGAACAGAGGCGGGGAATTCATTAAAAGCAAGTAGAACGATGGAAACAACCTGCAGAAGTTAGTGCAGTCGTGATACAAGCAAGCAGGAAGTCAATATCCGAAACGCTCGTGTTTGGGATGATGCCATTAATACGTAACACATTAAGGATTGCTTGGTGTCAGAGAGTAGACGTGTAAAATATATTCCAAGATCACTTACATCATGCAGAGGATATGCAGCACTGTAAACTCCATTGGCAAGCAGACTGGTGATCCCTTGAAAAATAAAGACGTAATAGTTATTTACAATTTTGAGGTTAGACAGTCTCACTTTATCATCCTTCCTGGAGATTTCCCTCAAAATAACAGTCATTTGGTCAGATAATGATTTTTCTGCCATCTCATTCCTTTCCATGTAGTTTCATTTTTAATCATATAGGTTATTAAACATGACTCATTTTATGAAATGGAAAACTGCAGAGAGCAAGAGGAAGTCATATATATTTGAGAATCAAGAATTAGAAGCCAATGACTTGAAATTAGTCATTAAAATAAATTACATTTTCTGAAAAGTCAGTTTGATTTAAGGGCAAGCCTGCAGATTTGAAAGTGTGTAGCAGAAGGCTCGATCACAAGAAGAATATGGCTGGAATTGATGGCATACGGGAACACGCATACGCACGCATCATCCACACAAAGTTTTGAATTCAGATTTCAGATTGATTAGAGAAATTGTAG